AGATTTAAAATTCTTTTGAAGAGAAATCGTCTCCCACCGATTCCTTTCCCTCGTGCTCGCTGTTGCATATCCCACCCTCGCACAGTTTCGCCGCTAGGGATTCCAATCGGCTTATTTTGCTGGTCTGGACGCACGTAGAGACCAGTAGGATATCGTTGTGTAGGATTTCTGTTGTCCCATCCTGCGGATATCCTTTCCATTGCTTTTATCTCACGTGTCCGCACTTTTTCTGACTTTCTCTTCTATTTTTCTCGAACACATATAGAGAAATATTTAGATGTCGTACATGACGATGTTTATCAACGTGATCAGAAACACAGCGCAGCTTCCTGTGTTTTTATCGAAAAGGAAATACAGTTTTTCAAGTCTTAACTGACTCGCCGGAAAAAAATCGGGTTGCAGAATACATTTAAACGCTTTTAACAAAAATTCAAAATTCTATCTACAGCCATTAGCGATCGATATTTGATTAATCCGTCGAATGCATTTTGCGATGGATTTTACCTGTCGTAAAAATTATTTAATGGTAAATCTGCGATATGGGCTCTTACAGGTCAGTCGATGTGTTCAACGCCATGAAAATATGAATTATTGTAACATAAACATGGTATTGTTATCGAATCAAAATAAAGAGATGGATAAACATGGAAGAAGCCATATGCGTGAAGGGCATAATATGTGTTATTTCACTTTTAACTGTGAGGAAGGAAGTTTATGTTTAGACAGTGAACGATAAAATGTGACTTGAATGAAAAACGGAATTATCACTGTGTCTGTCTATAAATCCACATTTCTCGCTTCAGAAATATACTATAATATTGACGTATATGCACGTTGCCGATGTTATCGAACCTTGATTGACACCTCTTTCCTGCACCAAGCGTTTCCCAGACGTTTCTCACCTTCCTATCCTAAGCAATTCGTTTAACGACGGACAAAGAGTCCAACTATTGTGCTCTCGTTTCGTGTCGGTGGACTCATAGACTGGTAGCGAAAATAGAATCTAACCCAAATAAACAGTGACACGCGAGGTCGATGTTATCCTCAGTACCAGCTCGGTCTAACTTTGATTAACACGAAAGAGTGGTGGCGCTTATGACGAAATTTACGAAAGCAAACTTTTAGAAATGACAAGTATACTATTTTTATATCTACTCTATTTCGTTTGGTCACGGATTAGGTATACACAACTAGTATTGTCCGTCAATAGTCTAAATCGAGAGGAAAAGGTAGGTTCAATAATTTTTTTCTCATATCTCTTGGCTCTTTACGACTCTTTATATACGTAAACTCATTTTTATTAAATTCAGGGACAGGAAACGCTTTTATTTCGGATAACATTGCAGAATTATATCTTCAGTTAGTTCTGTTATTTATGCACAGCGATATTTGATACAAATGATGTAATATGTAGACACGTGAAAAAGGATAACGGGAAGCTTATATTTTATGTAATCCAAGAAATATTTCAGACCCGAGTCGAACCGTAACACGCGATACGGCGGTGTGTCAGTTGTTTCTGCAATTTCATTCAGAGAGCTCATTTAATTTCGTTGCTGCTATTTTAAAACTTTTTATTTTCAATTCTACGGTAAATTAAATCCACCTTCTGCAGTTTTGTACGTTTTCTTTATATCGCGATCATTCTTTCTTACCATTTAGTTATGTTGATTCTTTATTTATGCCCGACATTAGCGGCAGACTTTACTTCCCAGATCACGGAGCAGTTTATTTCGCAGCAAAATAAATTCTGCACTTATCTCTTTTTCTTTCCCCCCCCCCCTATTGTTGAGATACCGCGACAGGAGAGACGCCACACTTATGCTGCTTACAGTATATTTACTGCCAGATCGTAAAGGAAAGAAAAGGAAGGTTTTTCAGACCGATACATCGGCCTGAGCATTTTAGAGACGAGAAGTAGTAAACTCTTTTACGGAAAAGTGTCTCCGATAGTAACGACCACTAAAAAGCGACCATGCCACTTCGCTACGTACGGTTCTGGCAGAGCCAGACTACTCTCTCACTAACGTTTCTCCAGAGCACACCCTGCTTTCGCACGTGTGTCTATTCGAGACAATGTTCCCTCCACTCGCTAGAAATGGAAGGCCTCTCGTGCCGTCTCAGCAAGATAGTATGATCTGCGAAGTCCTCTTACTTTATACCGGCTGAGAAGATACCTTCGCAATATCGTGAGGTGAGATTGTTCCTCGCGGATATCTCGATTCTAATCTATGTTTACAAAAAGTTAAATTACTCCTATCTTCAGTATAATCTCGTTGTAAATCTCATCTGAAACGTGCAGTTTTATTCCGTAAGATAAAAATCCACCAAGTTGCGAGTTTCACCGTGTCCGTTAACAATTAACAACGCGATTAGCTAGGCATTATTAAAATGTACGTTTCACACAAGTTGTATTGTGTTCATTAATATCGTCTCAACAGCATAATTAACTAAGCTTCACCAAAATGTGTGCATTATGAATTTCTCTCTCTCTCTCTCTCTCTCTCTCTCTCTCTCTCTCTCTCTCTCTCTCTCTCTCTCTCTTTCCGAGCGATGGTATTCATAAGACGAATGGATGCAATTTTTCGTATAGCGACGCTCATTCTTGGCGAAAAGCTGCTGGCTTAACTGCACTTTTCCCGTCATAACGTCCGCCGATGCATCGCCATTCGATGCATCCGCCGCAGCTCATCTTTACGACTCGCGCGATACGGTTACGGTCGAAACGCGACGTTAAAACGTGCATGCACCTTTCTCCGCCTATGAATAGCAAACGTCTCTGGCCCGAAAAGAGCGTGACACACGCGAGCGAGCTTCTTCGCCCCGGAGCTTTTCACGTCCCGTTCCCGAATCTCTCTCGAGAGATGCGCCCGTGGCGGGGTCTTTTCATCGTTATCCCACCAGACTTCGATCTTTTCGAATGCAGCTCTCGATTCTCCGATACGAGCAGACAACTTTGCACAATCTGCGAGATTGCGTGCACACGGTGACAGCCAACTTTTCCACGCGAGGCGATGCGTTGCGCATAATACAACGGTCGTACCGCGCGTGTCCACTTATCTGCGTTCGATCGCTTGTCATGTCAGCAATATAATCATTCCGTACAGTAGACTCGACGTGTGAAAATGATGGATAATATTAAATGACTATCGTAACATCGATTCTTGCATTGATTCGTTTTTTTTTTATTTTTTTTTTGTGAATTCCTAGACCGATATTACTTTCTATGATGAAAAAAGGATCCATTTGGTAATGAGTATCGAATAGTTAACGTCGAGATCATGAACGTTATCATCGTTACTTTCGTATGTGTACATACCGTACTAACATCGTTACAAGCACACCACCGCGTCGTAACTGAAAGTTCCTAATTTCCTAATTTAATACAAAGTTAATAAAGCCTCGGGACGCACGTATTTTCCGATTACTTATCGTCGGATTATTTGCAAGAACGTGTTTTAGATACACTGAACTGTGGATCTAACGAACATGCAAATTTACAATTATTTTCTTAATTCCCAGATCGATCGTATTTTTGCATATACAGTGAGAGCAAAAAAAGTATTTGTACAAGGAATTTTGTTATAAAAAAAAGCCTTATTTGTAGAAAATAAACATTAATTAGCAATTTTATATAATATAATTTTGAATACATTCTGTTCTTATATAAACAAACGAGCTTCACATATATTCCTGATTTTAGAAGTTAAATTTCTCGTCTGTATACTTTTTGAGCATTCAAACAATAAAATTTTTAATTTTTGCTTATTTTTCAAATGATATATTTTGTATAATTAATACACATCTTTTTGTATATATAATTTTAAGAAACATACAGTCTATTTTTTATTCTTTATGAATAAATTGTTAATTATCCAACAAGAAATGATCGTCAATTAAATGTCGAATCAACATCAAATTGATGCTGAATCATCATATTGGATCATTTAAAAAGTATCTGCGGTTTTTTCATTCAAAAATTGAACAAAAAACCGCGGATACTTTTTAAATGACCTAATATTTATATCGATTTGACATGAATTCAATGACTCATTTCTTTGGATAATAATTACTTTTTAAAAATAAAGTTTTTTTAAAAACTATTTTCTTTGTACGAATACTTTTTGCACTCACTGTATTATCTTTTCTTATATAATACTATTTTATAGTAAGATAAATAAATAAGATAAATAAATTGTAGAGTATTTGTATTTTAGAAATTCGAATTACATTTGCCGTATCCAGCGTCTTTATTTCTATTTGTATTTAATGTATATAATTATATTTAAAAAATTGTATAAATTTTTAAGTTTATTTTTTTATGTTAAATAATCACAATTGATCACACATCGCCTAAAAATGTATTATACTATTAATAAAATTAGACAAGATGTCAATAAAATCTTTGATTTATTCGTGATTCTAGAAAACGGATTTGTGCTTCGAAATTGCTTCAAGTCTGTCAAACGAATTGCTGAATAAATAAAGAAACGGAAGCTGTTTGACTAAATATATCGTGAATATTCGTGTATATCGTTATTATGTCAGTTTTGACACGGGCACTTCAGAACTTTGAATAATTAATAACAAGAAGGTAGAATTTATTTTGCTCGTCACAACTATTTTAGCATGTCAAAAATTAAACATTAATATTATTTCTGTAGCGACTGTAATTCAGAATTTTATTAGAACAAGCAGGATTGTAACTTCGTGTTTTTAAACGATTAATTGCATACACTATAAAAATTATATAAATAAAATTATATAAATGTTATCCTAAATAAAATAATCCAATATAAAATGAAATGATCCGCAATACTTGTCGCTTAATGCATA